TTCAGTTATGCCACTAGGTCATAAACTCAGTCATTTAGTATCACCTTTAATTCATGTTATTTGTTCACCTTTTTGTATTTGTTTATGGATACTTAAGAATAAATATATTTATTTTATTTTTTAACCTTTTAATTTCTTCTTTAACTTCTTTAACAAGATGACTCACTCCATCTTAGGTATTGTTGTGTAAGCTGGAAGTAATTTATTTGAGTTATGCAAAAGTTTCCCTGCTCTCCAAGTCTAAAACCTATCTCAGAATTCCTGCCATCTCTTTTGTTATCTGATAATTTAATTAAGAAAATATAAAACCATGTCACAGTAGCCTTAAAACAATTACTCAGGTTTCAGCCAGCATCCTGATCAAATTTAAAGTTTACCTTTCAGGCCTCTTTGTCCCTTATTTTTCTTGATTTTTCAATCTTCTTGTCTGTGTGGCGTTACTGCAATGGTCTCCAACCTTTTTAACTGCCACTTTTTCAATTTAAGTTCAGTGTAAGATCTACCTCAAAACCAAATACCCTTGTCCTGCTTCCTTCCCACCCCTTCTTTGAGACCCTGCCCTTGCTCCACCCCTTCTCCAAGGCCTCACCCTGCTCACTCCATCCTCCTTCCTCCCCCATCCTCACTTACTTTCACCAGGCTGGGGTAAAGGGTTGGGATGTAGGCTCTGGACTTGGGCCAAGTAGTTCGGAGTGTGTGAGGAGCTCCAGGCTTAGCCCAGAGTTGGGATCCAGGAGGGGTTGCAGTGTGCAAACTCTGAGGAGTTTGGGTACAGGGGGACTGATGTTTGGGGCAGAAGATTGGGGGCAGGAGGAGGTTCAGGGCTGGGACGGGGTTCAGGAAGCAGGCTTTGGCTGGGCACTATATAACTGAAATGGCTTCTGGGTGGTGGAGCAGTGGGGCTAAGGCAGGCTTACTCCTTCCCTGGCCCTGCACCACTCCTGAAAGCAGCTGGCACATACAGCAATGGCTCCATGGCACCATGTGCTGCCCCTCATCTACAGGCAGTGAGCCCACAGCTCCTACTGGCCACGGTTCCCCCTTATTGATCGATGGGAGCTGCAGGATTGGTGTCTGCATGTGGAGACAGCATGCTCTGCCTTTCTCAGGGGCTTCAGGGACATGCTAGCCACTTCCAGGAGCAGCAGTTACAATAGGGATAATTACTCTAGCCATGACTGGTTAGGCATTTTAGAACTCACTACTCAAAGAATTAAACCTACGTGTAAGAGAAAAATGAAAATGATGAACTGCACAGACCAGTCAAAAACTAAACATAACACACTTTGCAAGCAGTAACAGAAGCAACGACAGCCCCTCCCCCTCTTGTGTGTTGGGTTGGGGGGGAGTGTCTGTGAGAATGACAGACACACACACAGTGTGCAAGAGTGACAGAGATTTACATTGCCAAGCTCCCTCCATCCTCTTCCATCTGTGTGGAGATAAGGTATAAGGGGGGGGGGGCCTGACATCAGCACTTCCCCCTTCTTCCTCCCACACCCTGCACAGCAAGCAGGAGGCTCCCCAGGGGGCAACTCCAAGGCAAAGGGCAGGAGCAGCATGACAATGAGCAGAGGAGCAACTGAAGCTCCAGCACTTGATAACTTCCTGGCCAAACCAGTCAGGATCACCTGTCAAAGGCTCTGAGATCTACCAGTAGATCCCGTTCTACTGGTTAATGACCACTGGATTACTATATAGTCCAGAAAGGCATGCCTTGATTTTATAGAGAGGTCCTATTTCATTTAAAAACACATATTAATTTTTTCATGTCAAAGCTTTATTGATATTATCATAGGGCCTAGGAGCCCTAGTCAAGGACCAATGTGCTATACCTCAGTGGATATAGATAGTAATTGTATTGTTTTACATTTTCATTTACACACTCTGCTTAAATAATCCCATAACAAAAGGGATTGGAAATATACAAAAAGAGGAGACTGGAAGTCTCTTTGGAAAAAATATACAAACAACTGAAAAAATATACAAGAGAGATTGGAAATATACAAAAAGTTAGTTTGTGAATACCCTACTTCTCTATTTGTGAGTACCCTCACATAAGTAAGGGTAGAGGATCCTCATACTCTGGCCCAAAGAGTCACATGGATGGTGTTGTTGACTGCCCAACACACCACAGTCAGATATTACTAAAATCCCTGCCGATTCTGATGATCAGAGAAAAGGCATCATTCCATTTCTACTGAAACGGAAAACTTTTCTCTGCATTATCAGCACTTCAATTGGCTAACCCAAAAACCAATGATCATTTTGATTAGATTAGACATCAAAACCTTGTTTTTAAGTCATACAATTGATTATGATAAAGCAGATTTTTCATGGCCCTTCTACAGGTGCACAAGATCTGAAGAGATACTCTCTTCCCCCTTACATCCTATGCACCAGCATAATTACAAGCTGTGCACTTGGGGGAGCACAAGGTCTGTTCTCTCCTAGCAAACCCAGAAGCACAACGTACCACAAGGGGGACAGTGAGGAGGCACAACCATGACTTCCAACACCCATATATGATCAGTGGAGCTGGCGGGGTCAGGAAGGGTATGCAGCATGTGGATTCTCCCTACATGGCACAAAAGCTCTTGACAGATTGGTATGAAGTCATGTCACTCTCAACATGGATATGTGCCAATTAGGCACAATCTGGCTGGCTGTTGATTAGGTGAAAGACAGACCTCCCCTCTTCCAGCATGCTGTTTTGCTAAGGTGACTTGCTAATCATGTTTGTTTTTTTCTCATGACAAACAATCACTGCCAACTTATTTTTCAAACAGATGTAATTAGTTTTCATTGTAAGACCAATGCTTTTCTTTTCTTCATTTAAAAGACAATAGGCCATATCATAAAATCACACTCATTTATACCACCTGAGGATCTGGCCCAATTCTCCTCCATAGCTCTCTCTGGTTTGAATGGAGTGGCAATTAGTAAGGCTGTTTTTGTTTAACTTTATATAGCCCCTTATCTTGCCACAACATTTTTTTAAGCACAAGTATTGCTTATGAACTCAGCCCAGCTATGCTTGTTAACTAGTTCTGTTCTATTATGGTGTAGAAGGGGAAAAAAGAGCTCTCCAAATCAAAGATAATTCCCCTTTTTGTCTGGGAATAGAAATTGTTAGTTAATTGCTGCAATGTAGGCTCATGTAACTGTGGTGTGAAACAATTTGTCATAGTAAAGTCAGTCATTGCTTAAAACAGTACACAGAAAAACTAGGCCAAGCTTTCATATAGCCTGACAGTAATGGTCAACACATATAACAGGGGGCCTTCACAAAAGTAAATATATTTTAAAGGTGTTGTTGAGTGAGTCAACTATGGTATGAGAGCTGAGGGGCAAAACTCTCTAGTTCAAACACATATTCATCATTTATTTATATCATGATAGCATGTAGAAACTGCAATGAAAAACCAGGGCTCCATTATGAAAGATGCTGTTACAGAGAAATAACAAGGAAGACAGTCCCCACACCTGTAACTTCACAAACAGAATAACATGGAGAAAGGTGATTCCATTTCACACACGATTTCAATATTTCAAAATATGAGTTTGATACTGCTTTGGCATGAAAATCCAAAAATGTTTGAATTAATTTGACAAAGGGAATAGCTTGCTATCTCTGGGGCAGTCTGAGTGGTGGCCTGCCTTGAAGACACTGACCCTGGGATCTCTGGTTTAGGGGTCGTCTGCCTAGAGGGCTGCCCTGGAGCTGAGGATCTTGGGAGGTTGTCCTACTGAAAGAGCTGACAGCTTGGAAATTTGGGGGCTGGCATTCTCAAAGCTCCCAGGTTCACAACTATTCGTCAGCCTATCAAGTCGGGCTGCTGAATGGCTAGGAGCCAAGAGGGCAAATGGGCAGGAACTCTTTCTCCACAAAACATTTTCATTTTGACTGATCAGCTATATCCAGTAGAATAACCTCCTGGGAGATCATTTCAGATAAGCCCTACTCATAATCTGCATGCCAGATACAATTAAACCAGTTGATAATATGGACAAATGGAGCATGAGTGAGGGAGCAAAAATAATAAAAAGAACAATTTAGCACTCAAGTGTGACATAAATTATTTACACCTAGAGGTCAAGCAGAGTACCTTGTGTCAGTAGACATAGTCTTGTACCAGTGTTACAACTACATGAATACAGCCCTGTCAAGAGAGTGATCCTCAAAAACATCCTTTAAAAGTAAAGTTTATCTTACTTTCACCTTATTGCAGCCTTTGAAAGGATACAGCTGCAGCCTTCCCTGGTGGCTGGCCAGTGTGACATGGTGCTATCTTCTCGCCCCACTCCGCACTTGCTTTACTCCACAGGGAGGTCATATCCACAAAAGTGTTAGGTAACTAACTTGAGCAGGGGCTGAAGAGGGCCTTTGCTCCCCTTCTTGGGTGATGCAAGCCAGACACCTCTGAAAATTGCCTGTGGTAGTGAGCCCATCTGTAACCCCTTAAAAAAAGACACACACAAAGACAGGGGTGCTTCTTTCGTTTCCCTTTCCAGGGCTTATGTATTGCGCAGAGGTGCCACCCAGATCTGGTCCCATCCTAAGGCAGCATCCTGGGCCCTCTTCAGGGAGCCAGCGATGCCACCCGCGCATTGTGGGGCATTGTCTGTCCCAGCCCCGGCCCCATGGCAGGCAGACAGCCATGCCACCCGCGCATTGTGGGGCACTGTCTGTCCCATCCCCGGCCTCATGGTAAGGAGCCAGCCATGCCACCCTCACATTGTGGGGCACTGTCTGTCCCAGCCCCGACCCCATGGTAAGGAGCCAGCCATGCCACCCTCGCATTGTGGGGCACTGTCTGTCCCAGCCCAGGCCCCACAGCAGGGAGCCTCCCACATGTTGCGGGGCACTGTCTGTCCCAGCCCCCGAACGGGCAGCGCCTATGGGGTTGACTTGACACTGGCTCTGACAAGGGGGAGGGGAAAGGCGCAGCCCCCAGCAAGCCCGGCGCGGGCTTGGCCGCCACCCGGCGGCCGGAGCAGCTCGCGCAGAGGCTGAGGGGAATGGCCGGGGGCCAGGCAGCTCCCGCTGCCACCCGGGCTCGCAGCTTCCCTCGGGTCGGGTGGCAGGGAGGCGGAGACCTCGTACCTTTCACGGCGGGGCCGTCCCTCGGGGTGGGCCGGGCTAGGCGCTCCGGGAGCGGGGGAGGGAGCGTGCGAGACTCCCCAGCGGTGGGCTGGCTGTCCCTCCCGCCTTCCTTCCCCGGGGCAGCGCCGGGGCTGCATCCCGCCCTGCCCTGCCCTGCGGCGGCTTGCCCCGCCGCCTCCTTCCCCGCGCACACGCCTCCCTCCCCCTCCGGTCATGACCTCCGCCTCCCCCAAGTCTGAGAAGAGACGCTGGAGCTTGGGGCGGCTGCCTGCGTCCCGGAAAGGCAGCATGACTCCCAGCAAGAAGCCCTCCGCCCTGGAGCTGGCCGAAAACACCCCCCATGCCCACTACGCCCCGATGGCCGCGGTCCAGGAGCCGAGGCAGCCGGATGCCAGCCCGCCCGCGGAGCCGGATCGGGACGCGGATCGGGGCGAGCCGCCGTTCAAGAGCGAGATGGTGGTGGTGAACACGGACACGGACTGCCCCCGGCCCCACATCAGCCCGGACCCTCGGGTCTCCATCTACAGCATTCGCCGCCCGCTGCTGAGCAGGACCCACATCCAAGGCAGGGTCTATAACTTCCTAGAGAGACCCACCGGCTGGAAGTGCTTCGTGTATCACTTCACTGTGTGAGTAGTCCGCTGCGCACCCCATGGGGCCACCGTGCCCTGGCGGGGCGATCAGCACCGGGTCCTGCAGCCCGCCCTCTGATGTCCTTCTGGCCGCTGCTCGCGGTCAAATGCTGCTGCTGCCATCATGGGCACCACTTTGGCAAAGTGGGGGTGGCGGGGTGGAGAGCAAGGGCAGCCTGCTTCCTAGGCTTTGGCATGGTGATTACAGTCAGCTGTGGAAGGAAAGCTCTGACTTTTTCTTGGAAAGGACACACTGCACTGAGCTAACCTGCTGTCTTTCAAACTCCAGCAGACCGACTTACAAAGCAGCCTGTGGTACATTTCACATCCCCAGTTTTATTAATAGTTTGTTGTTGCGCTCCCTGGTCAGAGCAAAAATGTATTTTGCTGGGTCAGGTGTGCATGTGCACAGATGTGGGTCCTGCGGAGATTCTACACTACTTTCATTTTAGGTTTTCTAAACAAAATCTGCCTAGTCAAGTAAATGTAAATCTTATCTAGTCTGGCCTGTATCTATTTTTAATGAATGTATTTGACCTATGCATGTTCCATTCATTCATTACTGTTCTTGAGCAAGGTGGTGAGCAAGGCATGAAGTATTGAGAACTCCTTATGCTAGCCATGTTACCAGAGCAAATAAATTTTGTTCTTCGCAGGGCAGTTTAATCTATCTGTTAATGCTTGTTTGAGAAATTATTCTGGGCTGATTCTGTTAACCTTTCTCACACTGGATAATGCTCTACTCTGCAAGTACTCCCACAGAAATCCCCAGGACTGTTAATTGACTTATGGCCCACAGAGGGAGGAGAAGGAAAATGTCAGTGTAGGTAATGTGCCAGAATCTGGTTCAAGTGATTGGGCCCTTAGTACCTATAAAGATTGCATCAAACATCTTTGTAATGACTGAACTGAGCAATAATAGCACCTGTTTTGAAAGTCTAGCTTGTTAACCCACTTCCTCACT